TATATATCATTATTGTTCTTGTTATTATTATCGTATACTTTTTTTTAAATTCTGCCACGAACATTCTCATAGATGATCGAAGCTTTTGTAAATACAAACTAAATGCGAAGAATATAAATATATGTAGTAAAATCGATATTAAATATGTAGCCCGAAATATGAACCTCTGGCTGTGTAAGTCTAGTCGCTGCCCTCTGGGTCTGGCTCACTGCAAGGCCTCTGCCAAGTGCCAACGGACAACCCCACCAGTGTTTCTGGAGACTTGACTTTTTTATTTATAGAGATGTATGTTTTTGTAGCAATTGCTCTTATATACAGTATGTAGTTTTATGGTTTGAACCTTTATAGTTGGCACTGTAAAGGACTGCTACACCGTACACAGCTACACCATGCCAGTTGTCAATCATTAATTATGAAGAGGGGGCGGAACTCGGGAGGCCACATCTGTGCATATAATACCACCCACCCTGAGCCAGTGGCTTGTACTTCACCAGAGTTCAATCCCTCATGCCTCATTGCTCATGCCTGATACTCATAAATAACCAGCTCTTTTTAAAAAAAAAATGTAAAAATAGTGTTGCGACTCCTGCAAGAAGTCTATAACTCTACAAGTCTCTGCAAGACCAGGTCTCACTGTCTCAGTCTGCATTCTGCAACCTTTCGCCACAAAACATCAAAATATCATTGAGTTCATGACCATCTCATATAGCCTGTTCCAATTTAGAAGGTTGTGTCCCTCTTTACTCTATTCCTCTAGCTATTAGTAGAGAGAGAAGGAATATATATATATATATATATATAAATATATACAAATGCCAAAAACATAGTGAGTATGTACCGACTACCGAGTAGTAGAGTACTAGTTACCGACTACATACCGTCACACATGTGACGACTGATGACTATGAATGACATTAAGAATGTGTCCGTGTGACCGTGCGGCGTGGACGGTGGTACGTGGGTCGTGGCTATGTGGGTATCTTCCTATCCGGTACAGTGAGTTAGTGACGTATTAAAAAAAGTTTTAGGAGCGGGGGTCGTAGTAATAGAGTAGGACTCTCTCTCTCTCTCTAAAGAGAGAGAGGTATGTAGTATGTAGTATGTACCCCGAGGCCGAGCCTCTCAGGCCCAAGGGCGAGGGTGCTCTGCGTTTCTAAATAAATACACTATTTTTTCAACAAAGCAATACAATCTACTGTACATAATCTATTTAGTTGTATTTTATTATGTATCATTTGTTTTTAAAAACAATGAAGGCAGGGCAAGTTGCAAAAGTGACGTGAACGGTGAGGCGGGTGATGAGCCCGTGTCGCGACTCGGCGTGTCCCCGTGATACATACATAGTTACAATGTTAAAAATACATAGCCTTCTAAATGAAACATTTGGATTTTAGAAGGCTATACGTGATAGGAGGAACATACCTAATGTACAAAGGTACATATTCTATTGGATGTTAGTTAAACTACAAGAATATAGAGTAAAGTAGAGTAGCCAATACTCTGTAGAGTAAAGAGTGTGAGTCAAGAGTACTTTGAGAGATTGGCCTGGTACTGGAAGACTGGAACTGTTGAACGAGTGGAACAGTGGTACATAGTCACTCTCTCTTTACTAGTCAGTAGTCAACTAGTCACACCTCTAATTCTCTATCGGTATGCAAGTTATAAGGCTGTTGCATATAAAATTATAGGCACAAGTAAATATTGAAGTAGACATCACATTTCGTTATGACGACATGTCAGTTGTCACAACTCACGAGTCACAAGTCACATCTCACAAGTCACAACGCACACTCACACGTCACACAAGTAAATATGTATCTCACACACACTGTCATTTAAAATCATTATGTTATACACACAATGATTCTCCAGGCTCCAGCCCGCCTCCATTTGGCTCCAAGAAGATTAGAAGTAGAGTCTCCAAGAACATAGAAGTCGACTCACAATTTAAAAAAGTCAAAAGTCACAACCATCGGGCGTCGGCGGTGGGAGCTAGGAAAATAGTCAAAATAGATTGTTATTTTTTTTCTCAAAAATACATGAATATTTATTTAAACATACATCCACTTTTTGTATAGTTTTTTTTTGTATAGTTTTATAATAAATGCTCTCACTCTGAGGGTCTGGGCCCCTGCTGGGGTGGTGGTCTGTGACTCAGTGACCCGTGTCCATTTTCCAGTGCCTAGCCTGAGAAACTGAAAAGTCAAAAGTGGACAAGGTTTTTTTTTGTTTTTTTAAAAAACACACAAATTTAGAAGAAGACAACAACAAAATTTAAGTCATTTTTTATAAAGTCATGAAAAAATGATTTTTTTTAAAACAAAACTGCTCAACTAATCCATGGCGACAATTTTATCTTTCAGTGTATCAGTTTTATTACTTTTTCCACTTTTATTAGACACGCGGTGAATCGGTGATGGTATGACTATAGAGAGTATAGAGAGTATAAACTCGGAACAACGGTTGAACCGGCGGCTACTAGGAGTGACCACTGATCACTGATCACTGATCAGCCTTCAGGTCCAGGAGTGTCACTCCTGAGTCCTCATGAGTCATCGTCCTCATGAGTCATCAGTCCTCACTACATATTTTTTTGTTTTAAAACAAAAACAAAATACACATTATTATATACACGGTATAAAACTAAAAATACAGACACCGCTTCAGTAAATATGTATTTTAGAAAATCTATTTTTATGTTTTTTTTTTAAACAAATGAAAAGCAAATATCGAAGCTGCGATGGCCTACAAATTACAATACAACACGTGTGACATGCTGATCTGGTAAAAGCTGTTTTATTTAGAAAAACTTCCTGTAGTTGACGTATGTTTTACATACTGTGTACCGACTACCGTCACCGTGTCAGTGTATGCCTGTCTGCTACCGACTACCGTCACCGTGTCAGTGTATGCCTGTCTGGCGTGCGCACAAACGTCAAAAACTCACAGCAAGGAGGAGTTAGATGGGGGGGGGTTCTATTATTTATCTATTTTAAAAATCAATTACCAATGTCACCAGTGCCAAAAGCAACCCCGGAGAGGCGGATACTCTCCGGGTTTGGTATTTTCAGTACAGTTTGTACCAGGAGTAACTATTTTGATTTGACCCGCTAACAGTACAAAGTCTCAGTAGATGATGAGTCATAGCAAACCCCGGAGCGGCGGAGAACGTCTGTTTCTCCGTGTTTCATAAATTCCTACTTCAAAATAAATGAGAATATCTCATTGGTTCTATTTTATAAAATAATTTTTGGATGCTCTTGTGGCCAAATTTCATTTTTATTTTGGATTCTGTATAATCAGGTCTCAAGTTTAGACTATCAATCTAGAACAGAAAAAAAAGTAAAATTATACACGTTGTCATAGACTCTTGTTATTTTTTTTGACGTTGTGAGTTGAAAATTTGTAAATCAGTATTTATTTCGATAAAATAGTGTGAGTGTACACAACAGTATGTATGTATAGTTGTATACAATACTAAACAAACTAATAACTACACGTCCTGAAAGCAACAAACTACAATTGGGTCGTTTGTGAGTGACCAGCCCTGTTATAACTGTAATAAATGGATCGAATCAAATGAATGGACGTTCTGTGAATTCGCCAAAAAAACCCCCCGTTCACCCAAACCCTAAAACACTCCACATTCCTTAAGTATGGTTATACCTCGGCCGTCTCCCCACACTTGTGGCATACAACTAAATTTCCGAACCCTGCCTGAGCAGGTTTGCCTGTTGAGCACCTGATTGTGTGAATGTAGCAATCGTATGCACGAATGTACACCACTAGTGACAGTTCCACACACTTGGCAATTAAGACAATTATTACACGTAAAACCCTATCCTCCTGTGCTATTATCAAACCTATCTATACTACAGCTGTCGTGCATTGTATTTTTGCAAGCTGTGCATATCTGAACATCAGCTGCTGATGCAACATCGTGTGCGCAGACAGTACACTTATGGTGTATGGATTGTATATTCGAAATCTGCGCACTAGTTCTAACAACACTATAGGGTTTAACGCCCAGTGTGCGTCCTCGGTGTGCACTCATTGTACCGAAAAATAGGTGTACAGTTCTATAATTGTGAGACCTATAATACTTCTAACTATCTCACCGTGTAAGTCACAAAATATTCACTCGATCGAAAAACTGTCTTCACAACCCATGTCCCATAGACAGCATTTCGATGACAACAAATCGCATGCGTTATTTACATTTTTAGAATATTTAGTTATTTACGTCTTGACATCAAAACTTCAAAAGTAACGGCAAAAAAAAAGTACCTCGAAACCCGGAGAGTCTCCGGGTTTGTTTGGCACTGGTGTTGAATCAGACCATACATCACATAATTTCGAAGAAAAAAAATATGAAGAGCGAAAATAGCCGTAATTATTTAAAGAAATACATAATATGACACAATTCCGGATTTCAGAAATTAATAAATATGGGTCGAAGACAAATTGAATTTTGGAATTTTTTAGAGCTTAATTAAGAATTTTGTAAGATTAAGAAATCACGCAGTTCTTAATAAGAAATAAGAATTAAGAAGTCAACATACCTTAAATTTAGAAGTCAACATAACTTAAATAAGGAATATGGAATGAATTAAGAAGTCAACACACTTCGAATAAGGAATATGGAATAACGGGATGATCCCGTAATATGAAAAACAAGACATTTCTTGATTAAGAAGTCGATTAAGAAGTCATTATCCACTCACCACTGTTATTTTCCTACGTGGCTCACGCGGACTCACGCCCCACAGGGCCCGGTCTTCGCGTTTCTTAAATAAGTTTCTTATTGAAAACAAAATTTATGACTCACATAGCAAATAAAAGTAACCCCGAATCGACCGTCACAAGTCCAATACAATACGCCTAAGAAACTTGCCGACCTACATTGGGCTCGTTGTGTGGCTTCATGCGATCTTCTTTTCACCTTTGGGAGGCAGGCTCATTTTATAGAATGGTTGGCTACTGCAGTCGCAGTACCAACCACTGCACACTTCAGTTACAACCCTGGTGCTCCGGAAACTCTGAGAAAGTATCTAACAATATTAGTGAAATCTATTAGAGATGTAATATTGAACAAATGGAGAGACGCTCTACGATATTACAAACTCCCTTTTGCTAGTCTAGAGAATGATTTATGGAAAGGTGCTACCGGCACTAATTACCTCGGTAGCATCTTACATTTGTATGAACCTGCCCCTGTTGGATCACGACCTATCAGAATATCGGCATTCTTAGGATTGAAAGAGGTGGTAGGTTCTCATTCGGCCATAAACCTTGCAGAATGGCAGGTGCAAGTTTTTAGAGAATGGGGGATTCTAAGAACAATGTCTTTTAGAATTGGTGTCTTAGGTGAGAATGATTCTGTATGGCTGCATCCTAAACAGGTGATTGATAGTGCGACGCCTGATAATGCTTCGAATGTTCAAGCAGCAATGAATCTCACAGAACATGTCACTATGGGTTGTCGTGCTCATAGGATGGCCCTCGTAATGAAGAAGGTATATGGGGGAGCCTTGATTACTGCGACGGATAAGAATCGCCATCTTCGGGAAGTGGATTTCATATTGACGTGACTGTGTATATTGTGGCAGTGGGACATAATGAGTTAATGTCGTGTGTGTCACAGTGTCTGTAGCTCTGTATTCCCAACTTTTCACTGTTCTGTGTCTAAATACTTGTGAAATGTGATCAGGGCGATTCAGGCCTGATTGCGACGAGTCACCAAGGGTCTGTCTGTCACAGTGTCACTCGTACGACATATTAAGAATGAAATATGGATATATATTGATAACTTAATCTTAATAATATATATATTTCTTAATATTTCTTAATAAGAAATATTATTAAAGAACTATAGCAAAATTAATATGTTAAGTTTGCTCGTCAATAAATAATTTCTTATTCTTAATTATGTAATATGTGATATAAAATCGGGAATATCTTATTCTTAATGCTAATTATCAATTATGAAGAATAAATAATTTTGGACATAGATTCATAATTAAGAAATAGGATGCAGGACTCTTTCTAAATCTGTTAAGAAAACGTACAATACGTATCTTAATGATGTGATGTATGGCCTGGTGTTGATACAATGTTTTATTTGTTGTTGTTTTTTAAAAAGCAAAACAACAAACAGAAGGGAAATGTGGTATGTATTTATGTACATAAATATATGTATTTTTTGTTATTAATATATATATAAAAATACTGTACAGTGTACAGTCCATACTAAATACATACACAACTACACATTTTTTCTAAATGCATTATATATTTGTTTTTTTGTTTTTAAAAATCAATACAACACGAAGCGAGAGAGAGAGCAGTGAGCACTGGAGAATTCAAATTCACTCATATCGGATTGCCCTTAATAGTATTAGGTCACGTTTTCAGAGGGGGTCCTTGATTTTTTTTTAAAGTGATTCCCTGTGAGGTTCCTAAAATATTTGTGTCGTGGTTGTGAAATGAGAAAATGAGAGGCGCGAATTATAAATAGGCTGTAACCGACTAGCCGGTGCTTTTATAAAAAATGCCTCTCTATAAATTATAAAATACAAATTTAGCATATATACTTTTAAATATAGGTGATTTTTTATGTACATGATTTTATAGTATTTCTTTTACAAAAAGGAATAAAGAAAAACCAACCCAAAATAGATCACCTGACTTCCACCAATCCACAGTTCCAGACTATCAGAGTTCCAGTCCAGGGCCAAGAGTTCAGGACTTCACTGAAGGGCCCAGGCTCCAGTCCAGAACTCCAGACCCAGTGTCCCAGACTCCCAGTCTCTCACACTCACAGTCGTCATGCTGATAACGCTGAAACACGATGGCTTTTTTTTAGTAATATAAGAAGACTTTCTACTAGTCCCAGTCCCACCACACTTTTTAACACTATCACGTTTCCCCAGGAGCTATTTCCATTAAAATATAGCTGACCTCATATCGCGACTCGCGGCTTTCCTTCATCAATTCCTTCTCTTATATATATAATATCGCTTTATAGAGAGTATGAAAAGCGGTGTCAGCAAAAGCATATATATAGTGAGACATATCGAGATCATTTTAAACTCAACCGTTTGAGAAAAGATGAAACATGATCAAAAGATGAAACATGATCAGAAAAAGGAACCTGCACGTATCCAAAAAGTGAAGCCGAATTTCACTTTAAGTTTGGATAAGCCTGTGTATTTTGACCACGATGTTGTACAGGTAAAAATTTAACCTTCAATGATATATCACAATCCATGCAGCGCGTTATATATATATATATATATATATATATTAACATGAATTTATATAGATATAAAATACACATATCTATATAATACCCTTATAAACGCACACTATTCATGTATATATATATATATAATGTCTGTGTATTATATATATAAAACATATGTATTGCATGTCCCCCATGGGGTACTATAAAATCGCTTATCTCCCTTTACACACGGTAGACATGATTATAAGCCTCATGTAAATAGGGACACGTTCCTAACAAATTAAAATCTCCCCCATACTATATCTGTATCCTATTCATGACCAACTTTAGCAATAAGCCTTTTTACATTACCCTTTTATATCTGATCTACTATATATATGTGTGTCTGTGTCTGTGTGTCTGTGTCTGTGTCTGTGTGTGTGTGTGTGTGTATGTGTAATATATATATATATATATATATATATATATATATTACAGATATATTAATACATATCTATATATCCACATCTATATATATATATATATGATTTATATACTATTGTACTATTATGCGATTGATCTCGCGAAACAGGCAATATCGTGAAATTTTCAGGGCATGAGCGCACAAAATGGATGGTTAAACGTGCATACACAAATGTAAAGAGGATCCTCATAAATAGGAGCGTGCACTACGTACATGTAAACTCTCAAGAATATGCATTGAAAACATATATTAAGTACATATAACATACAACTATATATAAATTTTTGTACTCGTATATATATATGTGTGTGTGTGTGTGTGTGTATGTATATGTATATATTTATATTTATATTTATATGCGTAAATATATATATATCATTTATACAAATTTCTATATATATATATATATTGAATGTGGATATATATATGTGTGTGTGTATGTAGATATATATATGTGTGTTTGTGTATACATGGATATATACATTTATATATCTGTGTCTGTGTGTCTGTGTCTGTGTTTTTTTATTATATTTACATATATATATATATATGTATCTGTGTTCATCTTTATATTTATATTTATATATTCTTTTGTGTGTATATATATATATATCTGTATATGTATATGTGCTCCTATGTTTATATTTATATATATATATATATATTATGTCTGTATGTATGAATGTGGATGTGTTGGTGAGTGTATGTATGTATATACGTAATTGTTTGTGTTGTGGCGTGGTTATGAATCTGTATTGAAAACACATTTGAAATATGGAGTATGGGCTGTATGCATTCAATATGTTCTGACTTGCATAAATACTACTAAGATTATCGTTGGATATGCTTCGTTTAGGTGTCCTAGCGTTTTTGCGTTTATGGTGTGTTTTGTTTGATTCATCTGTGTCCTCAGAATTGTTCGGTTCTGGGAGATATATATATAAACTTGTAATCGGTTAATTAGAAACCATATCCGTGGAACTCTTTTATTTCCCAGATTTCGATCGACATCGATTCGCAAAGAGACTGTCCGTTGTACTACCCGGACATGAAGTTGCTAATTGCAAATGTATTCCAAGAGAAGACAAAGGACAAGAAGAAGAAGCCCAAGAACCACGTGCTTTTTAGCAAATTTCTCAAATTGGGAGATGTCGAAGTCGTGCCTGGAGCCGCCCACGTGAGTTTAAGTTTTGATTTCGCTGCGTATGTACGACATGACATACTATCACGCTTCGTTTCTGCCTGAAGGATTTCTTCTTATTTTTTAAATATCTGAGCTCCTAGATATACATTAGAGAATATTTACATCAATAAAATGTTTCTACTGAAAGACTTGATCGAGGTTAGGTATCGTCCATGAAACGCAATCAGCATCACATCTGTGCATCTTAACGGCACCTGTAAATCACATTTTAATGTCGTGTAGTACTGTGATCGCATGTATATTTGTACATACCGATGACTCCATTGTGTTTGTGTGTGTGGATATAAAGTTATTGATATATTTTTTTTAACCCAAAACCAATCTTATAATCTGTAGCGATTCATCTGTTCGCAGCACTCGACGGGCACGTCAGATCTGGTTTGGGTTGAATGTACAATTCGTTCCAGTGCGTTACAAGCGCTCATTACTAATTCGCCCCTTGCAGATGAATTTGGATTTTAATTTGCCAGAGGATATCATGCCGAGCTCATTCCAGTCCGACCATGTCATATGCTTTTGGGAAGTCAGTCTTACGTTCCAGATTGCGAACAAACCACTAGGTAATCACAGTACATGTCAGTGGGATCAGCGATGACATGGTCATCTGCAGCCAGCAATTTGCGTATTCTGTTTTGTTGATGCGTGCCTTCATGATGCGCGTGGTAAATTGTTGCAATGTTATTAGAACACGCGGACGATAATTTCAACCGCGGTCGAGATGAATAGCATCGGTCACTGTCATGTCATGTGCAACTCGTTGATATATTTTTATTGATTGGTTTCTCAGTGGTCTTGTCGCAGACGCGGTTTGAGAAGTCTACTGTTTATATCCATATGAATGAGGGCAAAACCTCCACGCGGAAATCGGTATGTACAGTATATCACATCACTTTTCATTTCTACATGCATCTAGAAAGGCCACCGGGAGTTTTTGTAAAGACTTAGATTATTAGTTGTCTCGGTTTGCAAAATAACCATGGGGTTCACTTTATATATGATTATTCTTTTCCCTTCTGAGTTTTGGATTTTTGGTGGTATTGAAAATGCTACGGGTTTTTTTGGGAGAGGGGTGAAGGAACATGCACAAATATAGATTGTAAACATGGCCCTCATCAATATAATAATTCGATCCGACATCATTACAGTTTGATATCCTTGGCAGAAGCAAACTGCAAGTAGAAGTGTCCACCGAAAACTCAATAAGCGCTGCGGACAAGCCTGTATCGATGGTGTTATCGGCCACGTCAGATTACAGAAGTCTGTTTATAGAAAAAGTCAAGGTATCTTATTTTTTCCCATACTAAACCCGCTTCGTGCACCAAAACAAGGAAAAGTTTTCGAAAATCGCATTTCGCGATCTCGCGTGGTAGCCATCAGTTAACATGGCAATTAAATCTGTTCGCGCTGATGATTGTCCAATTGATATGAATCACGAGGGAAACAGGTTATTATTTTGCTTGCCATTCTTGTTGAGAGTTTGTTTTTTTTTCCTTTTCTTGCAGGTCTTTTATAGACAAAGTGTTGTGCTGACCGACAAGCGAGGCGCTGAAATGGTATCGTATAAAACTAACCTAGAGTCAGTTACACTGAGCAAAGACAGTACTAGTTTTGAATACGGCGAAGCATTGAAGGAATCGCCGTCAACTGGGAGCCTGGTATCAAATGACTCAGCGGATAGTAGACCAGGTACTCCTGTCTCACCTGAAAGTTTACCCAGAACCCCGGAGTCGAAGAAAGAAGGTGTGTGAGCAAAATATAGTGCGGTTGAGAAGTGCTTTGTTTTGCTGTACTGTTTGTGTTCTATACACCATATACTCACGTCGTGCGCGCAACCAAGTACTTGTGAGTATCCGCGTTTGTTGGCTCTAGTTAGCCGTTTTACCTAAACACCCTGCATATTTGAGTAGCTACGCTCACCTAATTTATATGAGACATGGTTTGTAGCTAATTTGAAGGATCAATGTATATGCTCATGCTTTGGTTTTCGGCACTGTTCGTCAATCTATCACAGAGAAACCGGTAACTATGTTGGAGAAGGGGGAGAAAACAGAAAAGACTGGGACTAAGCATCGAGCTTCTCTGTTTCCAACTGTATTAAAGCATCACCGACGGTCTACTAGCAAATCGGGCAGTGAGACTAGCATCAAATTGTCGCCCGAGGACTTATACGCGTCAGAAAGTGGGGTCAATCGACGGGTTTCTCCGTCTCTGGCTCGTAAAGAGTCATCGGTAAGAGTGCCATGCGCCCTTCAATCACCTTACACAACAGAATGAGCTTGTACGTCTTGCGGCCGGTATATATCGTTACCAATTTTGACTTTGCTTTTTATGCCAAACACGCAGGACATCGTTTTGAGAAAAGCGTTCAAGAAGGTACAGATTTTGCCCACAACAGATTCGATACGTAAAGCCTGCCACCAAAGTCTTCATATTGATACGGGAAAACGCGGTATGAAGCAGCCGTAGAGCAAGGCCTTCTCGCGAGGCGAAAAAGTTTTTCAACCGCAACAGCTACTTTTATATTGATCTGGGTTTACTTTGTTCGTATCCCTGACCAATGGACTCAGTTTTTACCTTCTGCTTCCTCTCAATCGCACCGCGGAACGCAGGTGACAGTGGAGAGTTCTTAGCGCCTTCCGTCATTTACACTGCCAATCATAACGGCGTGACACTTCAGGTCACATATGAACTGGTTGCTAAGGTAACTGCCGTCGGAGAACTCGTTCAGAAATTACGCCTACCAATAACTGTTTCTGTAGCTGAGGAGGTCTCAAAGATGGTTTTCGGGTATGTGAACCAAAATGATTGTGAGCGACGTAGCGTATCTACAATCGCACTCGTCAAGTGTGTGAGTGCATGAGCATAACTTTTGCACAATACTCTACTATCTCGATACCGGAGCCAATCTGCGAATACTGTAATTTTTTATTTCTGGTGTGCAGTTGTCACGTTTCGCGTATCTGTGCTGAATGCTCATAGTATAGCTCGTTCCTCCCCTCGTGCCCACCCAAATCTAGCGATAATATGAATCGGATGCTTGATCATGTTCAATTTCATGAGAACGAGGAACCACCAATATTCGAAGAGGTGGAAAAAGTGTCTGATATTGTTGGTATCAGCGAGCAAGAAGCTGAAGAAAGTGTCTTCGTGGATGGTGAACGGACGACCATAAAACCAGGCAGACTGCAGCGATATTTCATAAAACCAACAAACGATAGGAACTGGGCTTATGCCGGCCACATCGACCAACTCAGGTATTTATCAGTTAACGCATCGTTTGTTTTGGAAGTTGAACCCATTGGGACAGATCTTTATTGAATGCCGCCCATTCGCAACTATTCAGCGGTTGTTGTAGTCTTCTATCATTGAAATTACGTACTTTACGCACAGAGCACGTGCTTATACACTACCGCAGAGGATACAAATGAGACACGGCAGAGCTAAGAAGAAGTCCGCGCTATTCTGGAATAACATAAAGTCAAGTGGGAAGGTAAGTCGGTCTTACAAAGGATGTTCTTTGCACTGGAGGACTTGCATTTATTTTTGTTCGTTGTCGGAGTACGTAGACGTCAGTACATATATATTATAACTGCTATATATTATTTAATTAAAATCCTATATCCAGGAAGCCGCCGTAGAGGAGAGCCTTGTACAGGGCACGGAGAGTTCCACATCAGGCGAAGATCTTGATCAACACGAAGCTCGGTGGCAAGAGGCCACTGGGGGACCAACTGAGAAAACATTCGAATACTCCGCAAACCAGATCTATAACAACCGTGGTTCGGCGCCTAATCTGAATATACATCCACCAGAGACGGGTATGTTTAGTAGGATTCATTGGTGCTTTTGCTAACAAATAATTGCTTCAATCAGTCCGTACTTCCTCACTTGGCTTTCCACGTGATTTTGTTTTTGCAGTGATAGGTTTCTCTTATCATACTCTTTTGTGCGCTCGCTACGCTAGGTAGCTCACGCTGACGATCTGCAATTTTTTAATAACACTCATGTCGGCACCCAGAATACAAGTTTCACTGGCAAGCGTCAGCGTTTCTTAAGCTTACACCGATACCCTTTTCTTGTACTCATCTTATCTAGGGCCTTCTGACTCCAACCCGTGGACAATACCTGATAATACGGCGAGGCGGACCGTTTTCGAACAGAGGTATCAACCGGATGTCGAATCAATAGGCAGAGCTCCCTCTATCTCAACTTCATCAAGTATGGCAAAATTGAGCCTACAATCACCTGAGAATCCAACGGAGTCTGAGATGTACGAAGAAGACAATACAGCGGAACGTCTGGGGTCGCTGCCTTTTGCACTGTATAGCCATAATGGCGAGTCTCGCCCGCACAATAATCTCGATGAGATACTACCTAACTATGACGATCTTGAGAATCAGTAGGCAGCTGAGCTTAGACATACATCCGGTGGTAGTTGCCACTCGCTATCCAGCTATTTAATTATCACTGTGAACTTAACCTGAAACTCTACTGGATTACTACGATTGCAACGACGCTATCGGCAGCGTTACAGATTTGGTATCGGCAGGTATAAATAGAATTCTAGATAAATATAAAATATAAATCCATTAATAAACGCCCTGGATCAATACTTAAAAACATTAGCCGGGGGTGATTAACATTCTATACTGCTATTTCAAGCTGGAGTGCGTTAGTAGCAAATTCAGATCGTTAAAAACTTATAGTCCTATCTAGGATTACAACAGCTACTGCAATTCGCTAATTCGACCTTTGAACCTATTTGAAATATAGCCTTGGACTGAATTGTTGTCATTTTTGGCGTATGTGGTTCACAATATGGTTTAGATAGAATGTGCTGGAAAAAAACATCTGCCGCAGCGAGTTTCGAACGTGAGATCTTAGCGACCAAAATTTTTGAATTTACAATCAGACGTGTGCGACTGAGCTGTGAACTTGTGACATTGCCAGTTCTCTGACTGGTCGTTTACTCGAGTTTTGATTGGTTTACAAAGAATCCAATGGTAAACCATCATTTCATTCATGAGTAATATTTATAAAATATTAAAATGTGCACACGAAAGTTGAACCTGCACCGCACTCTACTACTAGTACGGGAGGGTGGTTTTGTTCTGTACTTATGAGTCAGTATCACACGTAGCTGGAAGGACACGACACCCGGCGACTATAGTAGTGTTTCTGCAGCTTATCTAGCATATCTTAATACAAATGCTGTGAGAGGTGCTGTGAGTAGATGGGTCTCATGGCCAAATAAGCGTATATGCGGCCCAAGCCGGTTCGATGCTGGCTTTGGTATGCCATTACTAAACAAATGAAGTGGTAAGTGATTAGGTTCCACGCCCAATCTCACTCACTACAAGCAGCACTGTCAATATTGGACACCAGACTATTGTGATGGCAGTTAGTAGCCCAAAAGGCCCAGCAACTGGGCGCATACGGAAACTCGGGGCAGAAGCTGTATCGTTGCTGCGAACATCTGTGTCTATTACAAGTGTGGCGCTATGTGTCGAGGAGCTGGTTTTGAATGCACTCGACGCACACGCATCTCGCATTGAGGTGCGGGTGAATATGAACACTTTCAGTGTTTGTGTGAGCGACAATGGGGTTGGGCTGGATTTGGAGAACTTGCGATTGATTGGCGAACGATACACTACCAGGTAAGAAAGGAAGTACAGATGCAACCAGCCTTTTAACTAATACGGACCATGCAATGCTGCATTTTCTGACTTGTATTGTGAGATATATCCGAATAGAGCTATCCACTACCAGCCTAGAGAAGAAAGTACAGTTCCAGTATTTCTTATCTAGCTTGTATTGTATAATTTGACTATAATTTGACTTGCTAGGAGCCGAATAGAACGTTTCAGTTGGAAAGCACAGATGCAACACTCCCCATTTGTCGTGTATTGTGCTGTTATACACATGCACGATTGAAGCAAAAATAAAATTCGGGGAATTTGTCACCAATATTCACCGAAATTTGCGTGCAATACGTGACTATGTTCCAGAAGAAACCCGCTGAGCTTGCAAGTGTTTACCTCATACGTTTGTATATTTTTCTTTTGTTAACCTTTGTTTTTTTCATCTGAGTTTCTAATCGTTATGTACTGAACGATTGGAAAGACCTGCAGTTCATAGTAGTTCGACAAAATTACCACAGTAGCTCCACTGGCTTCCCTGCATGTTCTCAGAAGCCAATTTAAATGTGAGTTCACGCTGAGACCCGCGTGATGTTGACCTTATTCTGCTCGAAAGTCTAAAGACCCGTTAGAACGCGACTAGTAACAGTTTATTATTTGATGTGCACTTGTTCACATATTGCTTGATATCGCCATGCTATGGAATCCCCAAGCGTGTAGCACCTTATGATGTCGATCGTTGGCGTCCTTGCACTGCCATAGATCTGCTTAACCTCTAAAAGCCCGTATGACACGACATAACATTTATCCTGTCGCGGTCTGGAAACGCAGCAAGTTTGATGGAGAAGATATGTACTACGATGCAGATGGCAACGAAGCGTTTACAAAGAATGTGCTCGCCAGACCGCCACGGCAGTTCGGGTTTTTTGGCGAAGCTTTGGCGAGTCTTAGAGATATCTCAACATTAGAGATCTATACGAAAACATCCACCGGACCAAGTTTGCTGAAGAAGTTCAAAGACGGTGCACTGGTGTGCTGTTCGGATGTGTGTGCTCCAAAGCCTAGTGCAGGGACTACAGTCCAAGTTCATCGATTGTTCTACAACATGCCGGTACGATTGCCTCTTAGTACGTCGCTCTAGTAGTAGGCGGATGCTTCTGTGTGTACATGTTGCTTTGAAAATTGCGCACGAATGGATGCACATCGACACTGTGTTTTTGCTTAAGAGGTGCAGCAACATATGACCTCAAAAGGGCTTATTCTATGCACTCACTTCTCGTCGTCTTGTGACTCGTGGTTCGATCAAACAGTTTTCATATCACGCGCGCTGTCATCATTGCACCCGCCACGTCTATCCACTACCGCACTTCATTAGCATTTGAGCGCTCTATTTTAGCATTGAATCCCATAGATGGCTTTAATTTCATATTGTATTTAAGATTTCTCGTAGATGACTGTTGAAATAATCCCGATATACCATTTGACTCTCGCGCGCAGCTAAGGCAGCGAGGACAACCCGCCGCTGCTCTCAGTCACATTAAGCAGACTGTGCAACGCATGGCGATAATACATCCACAGGTGACCTTCAAACTCATCAACGACGTTAACAACAAGGTATTTTGAACCGGCTCTGCACACTTTCCCCAAGTGGTTGTTGATTCTTGCTGATGATATACGAGAGGTAGTTTGCGAACGAGTCCGTAGCTCTAAATCGCACTTGTTGCCTAGCTGTGCGGAGAATATTCATATCTGTCTACAAATTCTGAAATTTAAAGAACACATGCGCTCTAATTGCAATACCTGATAAGAAACCGAAATCTTCGTTCCAGATTATCGTCGAAGCAAAGCAATGCGAGTCGTCATTGCAAGCTTTCCGCGACACATTTCTCACGCTTGGTGCAACGATGCTTGATAATCTCCACACACTACGGAGAGTCGATGATACTGGTCAACAGTACACTCTGGAAGGATTTTTGTCAACCATCGGTCACTTCAGTAAATCATATCAGTTCGTATTCCTAAACAAACGGCTGCTTCGCAAGTCCGTCCTGCACAAACATATCAATGGGGTGATCAAAGACTCATCATTGTCAGGCAAGTTTCTCTCATCTACATTAGCTTGTTCAAATCTTTACTTGCACTTATTCGTGCCAGATTACTTGTACAAGTACATGGGACTAGGTGTATGTATTTAGTGCACATGTCGAGTACGTACATACGAGTACGCCATGTCTTAGTTTCTTCGCTCGATAGGATACCTAATAAGCCATTGACTCACAAGCGCTGTGTCTTGATATCAGGTTTGCGCATGACTGCCGCCGACACGGATACAGGCCCACAGTATAGCCCGCCAATCGCGAAGGCAGAGAAATTTGGGGTGTATGTACTGAACTTGATCACAAATGTTCCACACGATGTCTGCATTCATCATGACAAATCGCTAGTTGAGTTTAAGGTATGTACCTGATACTTTCATATAGATATACCTTTTTTTTCTGGATGCTTTCTTGTCGGCAACTGGTGCAAGTTTTATTGCAACGTTTCCTGATCACTTAGCTATTGTTTTTGTAGGACTGGGATGCAGTTCTGAACTTCGTGGATGAAGCTATTTCGACTTTCCTCGCCGCACATGGTCTGCTGCATGGTCTAGCTCAAGAATGCAATGTAGAGTCCGAATCTCTTGGTATGTTGTAATCTTACATGAACTGTTTTCCGCCTGATATCTGAATCAGCGATGGTGCTTCGATGGTCGGTAGTTGCAATTGCTGCTATATGCTCTAGAATGTTCACATGCACATCAATATTGTGGCATGATATATATGTTATTTATAGTTATTTTAGATGATGTGCCTTAATAGCACGCGTCTTGTTGGCTCGTTTAAAAAGTGATGTATTATGAGCTCCACTTTGACAGGTGTCGTTGTTCGATATCACAGGAAAGTCGCCAGGCGGCCGTAGTTCTGTGCTTCTACCTTCCAAAGTATACGAGTACCATGGTGAGTAAGAACAAACATTGTTTCATTGTTGCGGAATTGTCTATGTACACAGTCTATGTAGTCGTGGCAACCGATAATGTACCCTTTTCAAATTTGATCGAAACATTTATGATATAAACGAATATATTTAATGGCAGGTTCTTACTTACGATCGGCGCCGGTAAAGCGGAAGTATACCGAACCCCCCGCTAGCACACCGCAGGTAAATACTCCTAAAGAGGTCCTTCTACACAGTGGAAATGCAGAATTAAGTGCTCAGAGATTATAGTTCTCAGATTGGTCTAAATTTGCAGCTGTTCAAATATGTCGCTCTAGCCCTTTACTGGCATGGTTGCTGACATCCTTTCGCATTTACATTCTGAACTGCACCCTTGTAGAAACGTCGTTTCATCAGCAGCCCTGTCTATTCTCAGTATGGTTCTCCAGTAACTGACATCTCGAACGCCTACACCTTGCGAAATACTCCTCGCACACCCGGGCATAGTAAGAGACAGGCGCGCACGCGACAAGGCACGCCAGGGTTAGCAAAGGTGACGGATAAGTTCAAGGCAAAGTTGGGTGAGTTTTCGAAATCAGATCGAGTTGTTATTCTCCCTGTGACTTTTATGATACCGCGCACATGGGTACACAGTTACTCAACAGACAATTCACTCAATTTTTACTCCCCGAATGTGCTCGTTTTAGCACAATTCAATTGGGATTTTTATACCACGAAAATATATCTTAATGTTTCTCAACTACGGTGTAGGTTTGGGCTTACTTCAACATATTCCTCGAATCATGCCATTCCCAGCATCCATGGGGTATTCACCACGATCTCTATCTAAGACCGAGTCGCCTGCGTCAGCCAACCCAAAGACCACCTGCGCAGTTGCCACCGATCTCTTGACAAGCCCCGCTAAATCACACCGCAAGCCGAACTCTGGGTGCGACAGCCGACTACAATCTTCGTCCCTTGGGGTCGCATCCACCCGGTCCCAAATCGGCTCGAACAATGGCAATATCACCGAAATGCACGAGTCTATGCAAGCGGTGTTGAGGGGTGGTGGTGAAGCTAATGCATCCGAGAGCAATTCGATTGCAGTCGCCCATTGCATAACTTGCACGGCCTCAGATACCGCAGGCGATGTATTGTCAGCACTGGGTGCTCATGGTACGCTTAACAAAGACTTTGAGAAAGTAGAAAATCCTGATGATCCCTTGGCCTTTACAAACGAACCTGTGAGAGTGCAGAACGACGATGAAGATGATGGGAAGGAGGAGGATTCTACGCGCAAGCCATCTCAGTTAGCAGCACTGTCCGGGAGTCTCGGCTGTCCATCGGAGGAGACGACAAACCCTAGTGCCATTCCACCAGCACTTCCGAATGCCACATCAAAGTCGAAGCGTCGATTGCCGCAATCAAAACACCAGTCTTGCTTTAACCTTCAGCGGCAGATACCGCCGCTCTTTAGAGCACATGCCGCACCTCATAATTCCACAGCCAGGCGAGAAAAACAGTCTAAAGAGGCGCAATCAATAGAACAGACCTTCCCACGTCGAGATTTTAAAACCAGTGCACAACTTGGTACAGATAGTCAGGGCCCGACACATAGCCGACCTCGACCGAGTAAGCCCAGTTCGAACCAAAATGATACTTATGAGCAATCGCACTACACACTTAAGACGCATGTTCCAACGTTTGGATCCCATTTGGATAGATATCCGGGCCGGCTGTCTAGGCCGTGTTCTTCAGTCACGCCAGGAACTGGGGTAACTGATCCATCGCGTGCACAGCATGAGCCTCACTTACCCTCGCAATCAGAATTCGGCACGGAGCCTGTATGTCAATTCCAACTGCAATCGCTGCCGTTCTTGCAAGATGTTGTCAAACGGTCCGTCGAGGCTCGAGCGAACACTACCCCAGTGGTGTCTACGTCCACAAAGCACAAACCAGGTACTCTCACACACAAAGAAATTAACCTGCATTCATTTGCAAAGAGATCATCATGTTCGGCGTTTGCTCCTACAGGTTCAAAGGATGTGCGCCAGAAAACTCCGCTCGACGCTGAAATGCCAACCGTGATTACGAACCAGGAGGTGTCAGACCACGAAGCCGCAATTGTGTCTTCCGATGAAGAAAATTCGAATACTTCCCAATCACCAGCAATGACTGCTGTGGATTTGGCCTCTGAAGCCCAAAATATTATACGCCAGAAGGTCCAAAACGTAGATGAACTGCCAGCCGTTTCAGTGTGCCAGGAGGTGTCTGACCAGGCGATGAGCTCGACTTCTCGAAAGAATCCATCACTAAAAATCCCAGCACCAACAACTAGACGGGGTTTGGCTATAGCTCGTGATGAAGGAGGTTGTATCTTGTCCACGACCGGGTGTGTGAACAAGTCAAATTCAACAGTGGCGAAATCTACTCAACCCAAAGAACCACTTAAGCACGTGGAAAAACACCTGTCGCGTCGCGAACGGCTCGTAAGCAAGGGATACGGATCGCGAGATATTGAACAGCTTAATGCGATCATTAGAGAAGGCGTGTCTGACTCGAAACTTAATGCCGCATTAGTGACCATGGAACAATCGAAAGTAGAGAAACATCGTGCCGAGCCTGCCCAGCATGTACCTACTAGCGGTGTAGGGGGTTTAAAAGAAAAGAAAGGTACGGCTTCATCTGAAGACTCTGAGACATCTACCGAGCTAAATGTGACTAGCATTTTAGCGGAGTGGGAAAATCCGGTATTGCGGCCCATGGGTCAGCCTCTGCGGTGCTACTCAGCCTCGTATGCAAAGTTCCTGAAAGGTGCGGAGGTGACCAGTGCAGAGCCCGTACTGTTCACCAGAGACATGCTGGACAAAGCACGAGTGCTCAAACAAATGGATAAGAGTTACATTGTATGTCTCTTACCATACCGAACCAATGCAGTGGATAACCCCGTTGTGGCCTTGTTGGACCAGCATGCCGCGCATGAGAGACTAAGACTGGAAGAAATCTTGTCAGAGTTCAGGTTTGTATGGCAGCACGTGAAATATCTGAAGGTATTTTTCTAGCAGCCATAATCTATGCAATCCCCACATTACACAACCCAGGAGCTATCTGGATATACCAATAAATTATTATAAACACCAAACGTGTATCTTTATCCCCGCAGCAAAGGTCGGCAAAACAATATAGGTCCTGTACCGTTAGATCCTTTCATAGCTGTCAAGGTAACGGAAGAAGATGCACAATGTGTGCAACAGCAATGCGAAGCTCTCTTACGATGGGGGATCGAAGTCATTGTTGACCTGTAAGTCTTTCGCTTAATACATTGATTTTTTTCTTGATCAGCATTGGGTCAAGGTTGAACGTTTGATACTTGCTATATCTTGTATATGTGTCTATCGGTACCTTGAAAGTGCTATTCACATGTATTTCGAACATGGGTTGATGATACATCTATTTTTTTAATATGACTATTGATAAGCAGAGAAGCCGCCTTCGATGAACGGATCATTGTGTGCTCATTGCCCGAGGTATTTAAAACCGGCATCCGCGAGGACGAGGTGGGGCATGTTGTCAGGGTAAGTGGTACTCTACTGGAATGTCAGCCAATAACACGGCACAAGATAGCCCTTGGAATTACAACCAAATTACAGCCAAATTACAGCTTATTCTACTGACTGTATCATATTCGATTCTTACATAACGCAGACTCTGATGAATGAACAGATACACATTCATAGAAACACCGGCAGCATGACCACGATATTGCCACGTGTTATGAAGCGGGTTTTCAACCACGTCGCGTGTCGTGGTGCCATCAAGTTTGGCGATGAATTGGGTATCGACGTATGCCGTCAGATTGTTGCTGACCTTGCTAAGGTATTAATCGCACAGCTACACCCCTGATCATGTAGGTGTGATGTGCCAACTTTCATGCTGTTTTCCCACCATTGCAGGAAATTTTTATGAGACTTTCTGTCACAATTGCGCAACAGTGCGCTTCTACACTGTTTTCTACTTACGGATTCGTGCATCCTGCAGGTACATAACTATGACGAGAGAATATGTATATTTTTTCGTAGACAACTTTTTGCTCGTGTTTCACCGTCTCTATGCGATGAGATCATGAGTTATCATGGCAACTATGACTCATACAAATACTATATTCCCGCATACAGTGCGATCTCCCCTTCCAGTGCGCACATGGCCGCCCCACACTCATACCGTTAGCGGACTTGGAGCAGATTGATAAGTACAGACTTGTTAAGCAAAAGCAGTCGTCGGGTGAGAAGCGCATGGCATTGGCCTAGCACTGCTGGAGGTCACCTTCACTGATCATATTTGACTGACGAGACAATATTGTTGTACAATAATATTATACAAAGCGATAAACGATAAGGTGATGCAAATAGGGTCTCGTATAATGCGATCATATCCGGCATCAGATAAGGCCTGGAGATACCAGCTTTCAATATACTAATTTTTATTTCAAAAGCCTACTGTTCGGCTTCAGCTTCATTATGGTTCTTCAGTGTCTCTTGTATCACGAAATACATCTGCATTGAAGTGAAAGGAAAATAATAGAACGATCAGTATCACCTGTCAGAGCACTCACAGAAAGAGCAAGATTGATACGCAACGTTTATGCAATGAACGTGCTATTGGGAAGCAAATTTAGGCATCACCAGCTGCATACCTGTGCACAAGAATCTATACATTGTTCAATCGCGCCGCTCGACACCTGCGGACTCAACTGTCCTTCCTGCAGAAAGAAAGTAAGAATTGTTTGGTGAGCAAAATTAACTAAATTTTAGTGTTCGACTCGAGAAGCACGATTGCTTGTTATCGACCAACAAACTACCAATACACCCTTACCTGTACAATACTACAAATTTCATTCAATTGTGGTAAGTATCCGACCGTGACGTGTCCGTTTGATTGTGCTAATTCTTCATCTGTTGGATCGGTGATCACACATTGCCCAACGACTGCCTGTGGTAGAATTGAGCGCGATATGGTACAATGTTAAAGTTGCCATTAAGGTCATTACATGCTCCACTTGTGCATGTTGCATTGTATTCCCAGTGTGCGATATTCCTTGGCTTCCAAGGGATTGCTTAACAACGCAAGTCTATGGTACAGAAAAAAAGGCACAATTCAGATAATACATCACTTCTGCACGCGCACATACCACAGACACCGATGCAGCCAAGTCATACATCTGCAAACCAGCGTGAGCCAGGGCTAAACTCGCGGTAGTGAGTGCCACAGCAAAGGCACCACCATCATCGTCTAGTATCGTCACCACTATATCGATAACTGACTTAGGGTAGGCTTCTCTCTGTATGCAGTTGGACAATGCATTTGCTAGCATGATAGAGTACTCGTTCTCCTGTGCGCTCTTGTCGTTCGCGCGGAGAGTGGGTTGGGACACGGAATCGTAGCGGAATTCGCAATTCAGCACAGCATCCTCACTGTAGTCTCCTTTGTACTCCCGAGGGCCGTGTACCACTGCTACGCATTTGGTATCTGAACCGTACGAAAAGCGTGGCGTTAATTTCCAAACATCGAGATATCACCATGCAGCATATATATAAAGACGCACATATGTACCCAAATTTCATATGCTGGTTTGCACACTATGCACAATACTAAGAAAAAAGTCTTACTTACTTCCCATCTCGCCGTATGCGGATCCATTGGCCAGCGGCGTAGTGCCCACTTTCGTAAATACTGGACGTAGTTGTTTTAAACCGCGCCCTTCCGCACGCTGGATCGACCCCGTTGTTTTAGACAATAGAGGCTGCGACTCCTATGTAGGCAGCAAACAACATTGCAATTGGATAGTGAATTGATATGCTATGCAAATAGACCATACACATATGTACGGTGATAGGTCTCAATAACAAACTAGTGTAAACATACATGTGACATACGTGACTCAATACTGAAAGCTAAAGCACATGTCCGACACATTTGTCGAGATCCACGAGTCGTTTTTCGATCACAGGAGCGCACTATGTGTGTATATATATATATGCCGATATGTTTTTCTCATCCTGTATCTCTGATAGTCTTGTATTTGTGGCAAGATATAACTGCAGCCAAATAAATTGCTACCCATAGGTGGCAGATATAAACAACTCTACAATACATAACCACTCATGTGACACACAACTATTGAGACAATGGCCAATGCAGAGCAACAATGCGATTATATATATACTTCTTTGCCTCACAATACTCGCAATAGAAGTTATTCGTATATGCTTGTATTACAACATTGATATACACTCTTAGTTTTCAAAATTATGCAAAATCGTCTTTTATACTCTACCCTCAATTACGCAAAGACAGTGAATATATTAAAATTTAGAGCTTTCGAGTCGATGCATTATAGCCAAAAGTATAAACTTTTCAGGAAACGTCCATAATGAATGTGTATACGCATTCTTTAAATATTTTGTGTATATAAATG